AATTTACGCTGAGGGGAAACATCCCCAAAGGGAAACATCCTTTAGGATGCTCTGTGCCTTACTACCACCAAGAGCAAACAAAAGTTCAACTCCAGGCAGCAAACATGGAAAAGAACTTTTCTAATGTCACAAGGAACTTGTACAAGTAGGGACACAACCAGCTTCCTACTAATAGACATTTACATACAGCAGGACTCAGTGGCCTCAATAAGAAGGCAGTTGTTGCCTCTGAGATGTAATACAAGTCTACAGTCAAGCTGCAAATACAACTATGAATCGATTCCTCTCTTTCACTATTTGGAGGGCAGAGGCTAATACAGTACAGCACATCATACCTTCAGGGCAACAATACCTGCTGCTACAGGTGGTCCTCTTGGGCCTTTTAGAGCGAATGTGCTGACAGCTTTCACTGTGATCTCTAAGAGATGCTTGAACCAATGAGTTTTGTACAGTCTGGACAAAGGCTAGAGGCTGAGGCAGCAGCAGCACTGCCAGTAAGCAGCTGAACTGTGATACCTTTATGTTCCATCCCTTGAAATGAAATAGCTGTACAAAAAACCCAGTACTCCACACTAATCAATACCTACTAGGTAAGAAATGAGCTTCACACCTTTGGGATTATACAGTTTGCTTTAGGTTTCTGATTGATCCTGCAGTGATTTCCTGTGCCTTAACACCAGTGGCAAAAGCACAAATTAAAGATGAATGGCATGCTCAAACATTTTCCTTCATCAAGAACAGAATATGTCCCTGTTTTCCATGGCAAAATACATTAGAGCCTGGAGACTTGAAATCCCCCAGACTCTGCAAAGCTCACTTGCTACCACCTTCTATTACTCTGAAAGAAACAATGACCAAATTGATGTTTCTTCAGAGTAGAGATTTATTTTACTGTAGTGCCTACAGCCAGTTGCACTGGAATAGAATATTCAGCCTGAAAAGATGCTATGGATGCAAATGTAACTTGAACACTATTGTGCCCCCTGAAGCCTGGAGGTAACAGGTAAGTTATTTTCTCCAAGAAGTAACAAACAGAGCGCATTAATTCCTCCAACCAATCACCTGCACTTACAGCACACAAGAGATCTGACATTATTGCAATTACCCTCCAAGACATCCTGTCATGCTCTGAAATACTATCAAGAGAGACCAGACAATGAGCTTTTCAGGCATACATTTTTTAGCAAAATTTGCAACTGAACTCTTGCCAAAATGAAGATCTTACACTTAACAGACGAGACAGTATATGCTGTTGCCTAAATTAATCTATTATCTACGATTCAGAAAAGCATACATATGAGTAACTGACATGTGCTTACATATAAGGATTTTGCTGAATCAAGGCCTAAAAGAGGTTTCAATGGCATTACAGCTAACAGGGAATTTAATCTACTGTTAAAAAGCATCCTAACAAACATCCTTCGATTGTTTTCTGTAAGAGACTGTGATGAAGATACATGTTAACCAGCAAAACCGGACAGCTTGAACTTTTACACTGCCTGAAAAGAATTATCTGACCTTTGAAAACTGCCCATCTGAGGAACATGGCTTGTCACAAAAGGCAATAGGTATTTACAAAGAGAAATAAAAATGTTACCGAAAAAGTTCTGAGATGCTGACGTTGTTCAGGTACATATGTTAGGCTCAAATACCTAAAACTCACTGACGCATTTCTGCCTCTCTAATGTGTTCATTTTATTTTAAAACAGAACGTCTCTGCCTGCTGGATCATTGACTTTTCCTTTCCATTCTTCCTCTGATCTCTACTCACTAGAAACTTTTCAAACAATTCTGAATCAGTACTATCAAGTCCTGCCCCAAAGTTCCTAGAAACAAGAAAGACAATGAAGAGACTTACCATATAAGCATATTAACAAAAATGTCTACAGGAGACAAATCACCACTTCTTTCCTGTTTATCTACTACATTTCTGAAGTATTTCCTAACCTTTCTGCATTCATGATCAGAAGAGATAAGCAGGAGGGCTTCAGAAGAGTCCCAAGAGTCTATATCTGCATAACTGCTCACACTTCTGCTTCTGTGTCAAGGGCATGGACAGTACTGGCCAGGAGAAGAAATAATTCATAATGTACGACCTCTTGCCTAAAAAAGGTCCTTAATTATTACCCAGGTACATATGTACTAAAGCTTAACTTAAGACACTTTCCAAAGGGACATTTGGTCTTAATCTGCAAACAGAAGAACAGAGAATCTGCCACTTCTCTGCTGTTCTGTTCCAGTGATTAATGATCTTCATTGTATAAGGACTGTCTTTGATTCCCTATTTGAATCGCCTTGAGATCTGTCTTGTGTTTGCATCTCATACATATGAAACCACTTTTTAATGCTGTTTCCTGGAAAAAGTTGATCACGAGCTCCAGCCAAGTCACATACCCCTGCCCCCACTATTTCTGATACTCAAAATACATTGGGCTCTAGTGATCATCTTTTCTCTAGTCTTTCATCATCCACATAATTCCTTCCAGATCCTTTCCAGTTTCTTCTCTCCTTTCTGGAGGTGTGCATCAAAACTAGAGCACAGAAGTCTAAACTGGGTATTACTGATGATATGGTAAAATGAACTCCCTGTTCATAAACTCCAGCACTGTGAGCAGTTTGTGTTCAGTTGCTCATACAAGATATCTGGTAAAGCTGTGTAAGCAGCACACTCCAAGATGCATCTCCCACAGATTTGACCAGGACGCTTCATTCCTAAGGTCTGGATCTAGTGCATGTGATGCCCCAAATCAAGCGTGCAGCTGAAAAACTAATGCAACATCCTCTCTCTAGCTGTGTTCACTTTGATACTATTTAGGGGCTGAGTTGAGAGGGAAGGCTCTGCTTTTGTCTCATGTTTGCAGGCAACTGAATATAAATTTTCATCAAGTATTTCACCTGTAGTTAGACCTGCTGCTGCATTAACAACACAGACACTTTTTCAGTGCCTAACATTAGAAAGGCCCAGACTACTCCCGTTTCGATAGGTTGTATCAGAAGCTGCAGGCAAAATCAAATCCCAGCACTTCTTGCTTGTGAAGTATCCTAGGAGATGGCATCTGGGCTCTCCAGCCCACCAACAGTACAGCAAGAAGCTCAGACGGCAACTGTTTTCTTACAGATATGGGCATGACTGACTCATGGAAAGTTGTACGAATCATGAAATTCTACAGCACAGCAGGGTGAGGCAAAACCACACTCTGACAGGACATGTCTCAAATCGCCCTCTGTTAGATGTACACTGGCCACACACACCTCACAGAATGGTCACAAAAGCTTGCTATGCTTTTGGATAATTAAGCTGGGAGTGTGTTTTGCTGTTAATACACTCCTCAGCCCTTACATATATTCTTCTGCGGAACAAAGTTACTTGCGTACTGACACCTGTGGTGACAAACGTGCATCTTAACTATTTAAATAAAAAGTCTGCCCCAAAGAGGAAGCTGGAACTCACCCACGCAATTAGGTTAGGTTAATGCTGGCGATGAGTGAATAGATATTATCCACTATCATATTTTGTAATCCTCTGCTAAGTGGGATGCTAGAGCACTTCATTCACTCTGAGAGCCAACAAGACAGCTACTTATTCACTGTCAGACTTGAACAAGTCATAAGCAATCTCCTCAGCTTTGAGACAAGTTTATTCTAGAGACTGGTAATAGTCCAGAGTGATTTATACAGATCACCGAGTCCTACATTCAAGTTGTAGGTTTCTTCAAACAAATATTTACTTACCTGTAGAAACCTCAGGAAAAAAGACAACACTTCTCCTTTCAGATGTAAACTTCACAATGGTTCTTTTCATTACCAATAATCCCTTCCTCTCTTTCTCTAATCATTGATGATTATTTTAATAAACAATTTGCACTCAGCATATTTTATTCAATCTTTTGCTGTAAGTATGTGTCACAACAAGATATTGATCTGGATATGGAATACTAGCAACAAAATAAAAAATAATAATAAAGCATAGATATATCAAGGAAAACTACCTGACTCCAGAAAATGAGCTATCATCCCTCCCTTGAACTTGGTAAGAATTTGTGAGCACACAGCAGTGTCAAACAAGACACCGAGGAAGCTTCCATCCAAAGTGCTTCACCCAGAGGGCAGTGAGACATGGCACAAACTGCCCAGAGAAGCTGTGGATGCCCTATCCCTGAAGGCTTTTAAGGCCAGACTGGATAAGACCATGGGCAGTGTGACCTAATGGGTGGCAAGCCTGCCATTGGCAGAGCATCAGCACCAGACAAGCTTTAACATCCCTTCCAACCCAAGCCATCCTATGATTCCACAATACCTAGCTTCAAACAAACACAGTTGAAAGTGCTGTCTTGAATTTTCTAAAGCCTGTTATCCCTGGCAAAGCCACGACTTCCTCAGATGAAATACTAAGTGCATCACTTTTACACGCATTCAGATTTAAAGAGAAACCTGAAGAATTTCTAAGAGTAGTAAGCAGACAGTGATTTACATACAGTTCTCCTTTACAAAAGAGAAATGTTGTGTAAGGTGTATCAACTTGTGATTTCTATTTGTTTTTATCACATTTAAGCAAAGCAAAAACTGAGCACCACAAAAGCACAGAAGCGATTAATATATATATGCTTGATTGGAGTTACATTTACAAATATTGAGGCAAAATGGCTTTGGCTATACAAATTTTATCTTTTTTTTTTTTCCCTGTAAAAATACACATTACAGTTTCATAAACAAGTGATTTAAAGCTCATAGTGCTTATGAAAGCCAAGCTCAAGCCATTTTGTAAATGTAACCTTTAAAACAACCAAATACTACTTTTTGGGACTGGTGCTTAAGAATAACACCATTGAAAACTTACAAATTAAAAATTAAATTAAAAAAAATGAACTTCTGAAGCTGGAGTCTCACATAGGAATTTTGCCTCAGGAAACAAGCAAGATGAAGTTTGCATGCTGGCTGCTACAGCAACACAAAATTACAAAAGGAAGCCACTTAGTAAGGCTGCAGAAGGTCTGACTTACCACAAGAGCAACACGTGAAGCAGTTGGTATGATAGAGGTTACCCATTGCTTGGCAAGCCTGGCTCGCTCCATACACACCTTTTCCACATTTTATACAAATACCTACAAAGAAGAAACAGAACGAATGTTAGAATTCTTTTCAGATCCTAAAATTAGCTCTGGGCCATTGAATCACAGCACTCACAGTACCCCCAAATCAATGAGCTCCTCCACATCATTAGACTCAAATATGCAAGTCAGCAGCAGACAGTTCGTATGAAATAAATACATTGTAATGAACCCAAAATAAAAGGGTTGGAGCAGGCCTCTGCTGGCAATTCAACATATGGAGACTGAGACTAGCTAAAGACAGAAATTTTGTTCACTAAACAATCTAGTAAGACCTTGACCATTTTACATTCAATGATCACAAATGACAATAATCACATCTAAAATGAAGTATTTTCTTTTTGCCTCTCTCCAAGAGCACAAGCCATCAGAAATGCTGATTCAGGTGGAAGCAAACACAGGGAAACGGGCCTTATTAGTTGCATTTAATAATTGTTTAACATGTTAACTGTCCACAATTAGTAATACGCAACCTAAAACATAACCTGGGAGCTTACAAAACAGAAGAGCAAAGCTTCCACCTTTCTTATGGTCTAAGGGCAAAAACTCTGGCTAGCAGTGGGGCAGAAATTCACCTTTAGTGCCTAAAACCTGCTCTTGGTGAAGCTGGGGATGTTTCTCATACATAGCCTGTATAAGATGAAAGTACAAAGAAGCACAGTGCCAGCAAACTCAGCTGTCAGTCTCACACAGCGCAGGCTCACTATGAAGCAGAAATGAAACGCTCACAAATCTGTATCCTTCTTCCATGTACTCCACAGAACTGATTAAGTTCATCTGAGATGATCACTGATCTCTGGAGCTGTACAGAGCATCTCAAAACTTTGAATTTGGAAACACTACAGTAGAAAATAGAAATTGAGTTTTCTACCTTGCACAACTTTGTAAGGAAGTTGTGATCCATGGACTGTTTGAGGCCCTCTTTCTGCAAATGCACATACAAGCTCAGCATTACTAGCATCAACAAAGCTGCTAATGTACTTGAAAGCCTAGGAACTCAAGAACTATGAAACTAAGCTTTAACCACCCAGAATTTTTCCCTGTTACGGTACGAGCATTTTAATTTGTACACACATAAAAAAATATAAATGCAAGCTGCTCAGAGAAAAGTAGTATATTACGAATTAGTAGAAACTTACATAGCAGGAAAAAAAAGGTTAACAAATCATTTGGTGTTTCAGTTCCCCTCCCATAGGTTTTATACACTTCCAGCATATGAACTGGAAAAGACAAAAAATGCCACCTGCCTCTGGCAGATAGCAGCAAGGAGATGAGCAAAGCTGGCAGAAGAGCAGGACTCATCAACACAGCTGAGATTTAACCAGATCTCTCAGTAAAGAAACAATCAAACACAACAACCCAGAAATATTAAGTCCCTTAAGCTACTCAAGACTTTAAACTCCACTTCTGAAACTGCATCTGTATGGACTGTGCATCTGTATGGACTGCGTAGTATGAACTGTTTAAAAAGAGATATTTGAAAAAAAAGCAACTTTCTATGCTACTAATCCAAGTACTAAAATGGGAAGACCTTCCATAAGTTATGGGTTTCTTGGTGTTTCCACATTTAACTACCTCTTTTCAAATCATGAAAAGAGATCAGCTTTTCATTCATCTTGTTCAACAATGCTGTAATTTTGCACCATGAGAATATCTATCAATTAAGTGAAATTATAAACTTAGAGAAACCAGCAAATCTATTAACTTTTTTAAACTAGTAGTTTAAAAAAAATCTTGAACTTGAGTTTTGTGTTTCAATGAAGCAGGAACTATGGTATTTAATATTATTAAAGCTAATATCCTTAGGTAAACCTACAATACTGAACCAGATGCCACCTGTATCCATCAGTTCACTGTACTGCTGGTCCTTCATTAGACAAGCTCAGTTCAGATACAGAAAATGGAAACTTCAGCATATCTGTTGTCTTATCCAAGGCTGTTACATCTATTTATTTATGCATAGACAAAGGTTATGAAAAAAGTCTGCTATTAGCCACAAGTTAATGGTTAATTGCTGATAAAAGACCACTATTGATTATTGAGGACACTGATCAGAAAACAGGTCTGTCAGCCAGCAGCTGCAGGAGGAGCTTGCATGCAACCAACAGCAGCCACAGCAACTCCCAAACCTGCTTGTTTCACCACAGGCTACAAGACCCAAAATAACTGCTGTCCTTCGTGGCCTTTGGGGCAGAAGGGCTGCACACACAGCAAAGAAAGCAACTGTTTCAGAAATCAGAAGTCTTCTAACTTCAGCATAAGGCTGTTGTACCATATTTCAGTTTAACTCCACGTAGAGGAGCCAGAAGAGAGCCCATGAGAGCTCCCCAGCTGCACTCTTTTTTCCCATCTCTTCATGCCAACTGTGCACCTGAGGTGGATGGCTAACACTAGCCTGACTGTGAGGTCACACATCTTTTTCTTTTTATGCTTTCCTGTTTATCCAAAGAATAACAGAAATCCAGCCTGTAGTTCTGATGTTACCATCAATGAGCTCTCATATTCTCTACTACAGCCATGAACTGCTCTGATAAATGAAGATATTGCCTAATTTATTTGCCATTGCACCAGTGAACCATCAGAAGCAAAAGGATCTATTGTACATGTTAATATTGGTCTCTGCAGCAAGTGATTAGTTAAGAGCAGCTGTCACTTTGTTACCTTACATTCTCTGAAAGAACAGTCATTAGCTCCAGGAATAAATGATCACAGAGACCATCAGCATGCTAAAAAGGCATATGTATAATTCCAAAAGTGTATTTTGGAAAGTATACACGCAGCTGGGGTGCGAGCACAGTGTGAGCTCATGACTGCCTTGGAAAAGCACCAATCACATGGTTGTTCCACCATGTTTTCCACCAGTCACAGCCCAGACTGCACACTGCAAGCTTGTGTAAGCCCCAACATAACAGCTACATCACTTTTTCTTTTTCCAGATTTCATTTCAAAACTTGTTAAACTGCCTATGAAGAATGCACTGTTACAGAGCAAGCAGATCTCATTTCTGACTCCTCACTTTACCCAACTCCAGGTCAACTGTTTCAGCTTTCATTCAATTCCTTGTCCCTCCCAACACCTCTACACCAAGCTTCCAACTGTACCTCCAGTTCTTCAACACATTAATGACTGCATTTTCACCCAGGTCTAAAGCTCTCCTACAGAGCTGGTCTCCTTCTTCAGCTAGGAAAAGATGTTGCCAGATGTTGTGTATAGGCTCAAAGTCTGCATGAAGTCTCCCTCAGAAGCAGCACGATTCTGCATCCTTCCTTAGCTAAGGTAAAACAATGTTTGCATCTTTACACAGCATTTGATAGAACTGGGGGGAGAAACCACTGAAAAACATGCTCTGTGGACCTCAGCTGAAGTCCTATATTAAAAGCAATGCTGGAAAGAGAATGAGCCCCCTGAGAGGCTGCCAGAGTTAGCTGCAGCATGCTGCCAGCACTCCCCACACTTTAACCAGCCCACTTATCGAGCTTGACAGTCAGTCACAATGGCATCTCCAGGTGCAGCCAGGACTGCACAGCAACAGAGTTATCAGAAAAGCAATGTTCCCCAGCTAACACGTGTATTAGTAAAATCCTAGTACAAGCATCACAAGAAAATAGAAAAACTGTTATCAGCCTAGATATGTATTTTCTGTCACAGTCTGTTTTTGGCTTAGACCCAAGAGATCAAAGCACAGTGTAACAAAGCTACCAGCAGCTACCTAGAGAAGACATTAAAGCTATGCAGTGAAACTTGCTGTAGCACTCCTGCAGTAGTCTACACGCTGGAGTAAGGTCAGTTTGGGTCCTGTACATCCAGCTCTGGGATGATCTCTCTCCTGACAAGCCTGTGTCTTTTCGACCGTGCAAGTACAAGCAGCAGACTGGTACTTCATCCAGATTTCACCAGTTACCCAGAATTAGAAAAAAGGCGGTAGTCAAAGATTAAATGCAGTATGTATAACAGCAGATGTACAACCTTTTGGCCAGGTCTTGTCCTCAGCCACATGTGGAAATCAGCCTGCACCTATTCTATCCTCACTTATCCTGAAGTCAATGGTTTAGCATGAATGCAAGAGAAATGGTACCATATGGCCTCAACTTCAGCAAGAACCAGCTGTATGAGTCAGAATGAGAATCTGTCTATTGCACTCCTTGACAGCATGCCACAGCTCAGGGATGAGCTGCAGCTTTACTGTCTTACAGTCACACTGTATCTCCTGGATAACTGCTACATGCTGCCTACAGTAGGAAACAACCATGCCCTGTCGTCAAGAGTTATGGCAAAGCTAAAATTAACAACTAACACATGGCACAGATGAATCCCTCCCTGCCTCAGCAGTTCTGTTCACATTGCAGTGCAGGGAAGGGAGGGTAAGTTAATTTTACCCTCGAGTTACTGCAAAATCTCATTTTCTCTTCTCTGGCAGAAAAGACCATCTCCAGAAACTTCAATAATAAGCTTTCCACACCCCTTTGGCATACTCAAGGTGCAGGGAATGAAAACCCATAGGCATGAAGCAAGAATTATAAAGGAGGAAGAAACTTTAGCTCAGAGAAAGTAAAACGCAGCACAAGGGGCTAACTGTGAAAGCACGAGGACTGCAGATGGGCTATGCTAGACCTCCACAAACACACATATAGGCTTCCTTCAGTGAAAGGCCTGCAGCCTCTTGCAGCTAAGCAAGTTTTAAAGAGGGTGTTGTTACCACCTTTAAAAAATATTCTGCGAGGAAGCTGCGTAAATAGGGAAGCAGCAAAGCTGCTTCAGGCACAGCCAATCAGGCTGTGCTGCAGCTGTACCTGCCTGACAGCCGCTACTGTACCGACATCCTGGTCTGCAGCAGCTCCGGATGCTGTGACTTCAGCAGAGAAAAATGCTCCCCTCCTTCCAACAAACACAGGAGGAGCGATGTTCTGATGTACACGTCATCCCCCAGCAAGAGACTAGAAAAAAGCAAGGCACCTATGAAGGACAAAGGAGCAGAGCCTTTTTCCAGCAGCCAG